AGATCTTTCTGGATGAGGCACCAACTCTCTTGGGAGGCCAGTTCTAAGGCATTCCATGGAACCCAAAGCCAGCTATAAAAGATTGGCTTGGGGCAGAGCTGATGGGGAAAGAGTTGCACTTGAATTTCTAGTTATTCCAAGTCTAGATTCAGAAGGCCTCAATTAGGGGAGGAAGCCACCTATTTACACTCCAGTCCCACAAGAAACTCAGGATGGAATGACCTCAGAACTCTCTTCATCTTTTATGGTTTGAGAGTCAGAATTTCTTGCCTATTAGTAGTGACGAGCATTTACATTCAAATTAAGGCTCAGAGGGGTTGAGGAAATACACCAAGACCACATAACCAGAAGCAGCAGAACTAGACTTCAGAGTCAGGTCTGGTGGATCCCAAGCCCCGGGTTTTCTCCTCCATGAACAATACATCAGCACAGGATAAGTCTGTGAGGCTGCAAAGATGAATGAGACATAGTCCCTACCCCTAGGAGCTGAGATAGAAACAAAGAGGGCATCTTAGGGAGTTTTTGTTCTAATTCCATTTGAGACTCACTTTGGACTTAAGCATGTTCTTGCAGTGAGACTCTCCTTAGACCTCCATGTTTGCATTTATGAAATGAGGAATAATGGCTACCATCAATTAAAATACACCTGTTAATATGCTCAAGAATGTACAAAATATTCTTAGGTCCTTAGTACTATGTCAAGGCAAAGTGTCACTCCTATTATTAATGGGTAATAGGCACTGCTACAAAGAACATTTAAGTCTGATGTTCTGTGCATTAGTGAAATGAATTTGTGTAGTGAGTAAGGTGACCTCATACTAGCTCTCACCATACAAACTGATGGGGACTGGAGCAACTGAAGGTGAAAAGATTTTGAGGTCCAGATCTTGGCTTGGATTGTGCTAATTAGGAAAAGACCTAGCTGAATTACAATAACAATGGGAACGGAGCAGACAAGAAATCTTAGTACCAAAACACCAGGTCAGGAGAAACAACTGGGTAACAACCAGTGGGTGAAAGAAAGTACCCAATTCTTCAGTCATACAGTCTTTCATCTTGTGATCTGAATCCATGCAACAGTGCCACTTGACAACTGCCTGGACTTATCACAAAGCAGGTAAATCTACCCTTGGGCAGAGTGTGCACTGAACAAAATCAACAAACTCCATGCCTGCCTCCCATGGGAGACTGCAGACGTCAGAGGGGGTTCTGGCTTAGCATGCCATGAGGAGGCTGTGCAGAAAGAGACTCTGGTCAAGGCTCTGTAAAGCTCTGTGGAGTCTGTGGGGAACAATAAGAATGCAGAATATAAATGTAAGCTGCAGGCTGATGGGCCCATTAGGAATTAGGGCAGTCTTTGAAAGGAATCTGCGGAGATGATGCAAAACACCAAGCATGTGACCCAAATCATGGCAGGGCATATTGGAAGGAGAAGGGAATGGGAATGAGACATTTTCTAATCTGATTAGTCTGAAGTTTCCCCTGAGTGTGGAGAAGGGTCACCACACAATTAGAGGCAAAGTTAGACTGAACATGGTCTGCTTAGCAGTGGAGAGGGGTTAACTCCTTAAAGCTAAGCTGGGCAGGGAGGCAGATGTGTTTAGAGACAGAAACAACTTTGAAATCAAGTTACAGAATCTTTTTTTTTTTTTGCATTTAATGTCAAATTGTAAAGGCAAAGACAAAATAGTCTGCTGAGAGAATGGGAGGATGATGACTTGGTGGCCTCAGCACTGGCTAAGAAACCTCTAGGTCCTCCAGAGGCCAGGCTCCCACATTACTGGACTTTCTAGGACAACTCGTCCTCAGGCCCATCAAGAGATAATCTAATAAACATCCCAGCTTCCTGACTAGAAGACAGCTTAATGTGTGAAAAGCATCCAGATCCAACTATTGAAAAACAAGGCTTCCTTCATAAAGAAGGACACAGGATTCTCCCAGTTCATTTCTAAGTCAGACTGTGTGGTCTATGGTCCCTTACTTCAACTTCTCTCTTAGACCCTAGTCAATAGTTAGCATCAGGTGCTGTGTTGGGTACTTTATATACATTATCTCAATTACTCCTTTGAATTAGTAGGAAGTAAATACTATTGTTTGTTTGTGTTAGTCAACTTTTTTTGCTGTGACCAAAATACCTGACAAACAACTTAAAGGATGAAAAAGTTTATTTTGGCTTCCAGTTTCAGTCCATGGTTGGCCAGTCTATTGCTTTGGATCTGAGGTGAGGTAGCACATTGTGGTGAAAGGAGGTGGTAGAGGGAAGCTGCTCAACTCATGGCAGTCAGGAAGGAAGGGTGGGGAAGAGGTCAGGGACAAGATGTCTTGTCCCCAAGGGCATACCCTCAGTGACCTACTTCCTTCAAAAATGCCCCTCTTGTCTTCAGTTTCCACCTCCTCCCAATAGTCCATTTAAATTATTCATCCCTCAGTGAAATAATCCACTGGTGAGGTCAGAGCCCTCATGATCCAGTCACTTCTCAAAAGCCCCACCTCTGGACATTACTACATTGGAGACCAAGTCTTTAACCATGAGCTTTTGGGAGACATTCTGAACCAAATCATAACACTCTTTTTATTTTAATTTTATTTTTTTTATTATTAGTTGTTCAAAACATTACAAAGCTCTTGACATATCATATTTCATACATTATATTCAAGTGGGTTATGAACTCCCATTTTTACCCCGTATACAGATTGCAGAATCACATCAGTTACACATCCACGTTTTTACATATTGCTATACTAGTGTCTGTTGTATTCTGCTGCCTTTCCTATCCTCTACTATCCCCCTCCCCCCCTCCCATCTTCTCTCTCTACCCCATCTACTGTAATTCATTTCTCTCCTTGTTTTCCCTTTCTCCTCACTTCCTCTTATATGTAATTTTGTATAACAATGAGGGTCTCCTTCCATTTCCAATAACACTCTTTTTAGAGGTAAGGAATCTGAGATTTAAGCAGGTCCAAACTCTTGCTCAAGATCACATAGCTAGTAAGTAGATTCAAAGAATATGAAAAACAAGGTAGGGGAGTAAAACTGCCAAGATGTGACAATTCATTGATTGTTTACTGGTGGTAAATTAAAGGGGTTAGAAGCAAGTGTTTGCGACTGAATGGATCAAAAGTCAAGTCACAACTCTTCATTATAAGGTAAGGGATAAAAAGAGAAACATAAATAACCAAGCAAATGTGAGGGGGATTCATGGATATGGTGGCATTTGAAATGGGTCTTGAAGGAAGAGCCGGCTTTCAGTAGGTAAAGAAAATTGGGAGCTATTTCCAATGAAAGAAATAGCCAGATAAAAGGCAAAAAAGTAGGAAAACATGAGAAATATGTATAAAATGCTAGATGGCCCAATTTCACTGGCATATCGGGAAAATGAAGGAGTGCTTTGGGAATGTGATAACTACAGAGAATCCTGACTCCTAGGCATGCGTACTTCATCTCAGGTCTTTTACACCAGGATGACTTATTTATCTTTCATACTACTACTAGAAAATAAAAGAAAATGAGCTAAAACTAACAAACAAACAAAACAAATAGAACCGATAGTCTAGAAAATTACTCCAGGTCAATGTAACACATATACACACACACATCCAACGGGCTTTGCCCTTCTCTTGATTCTCCTCCTGATGCTTGGACCCTAGTTCTCCAAATGGGAATTTGTTTTTATCTGTTCCTTTAGTTTATCCTTTAGTCTCAGACAAAGGACACCCCACCCAACCCCTGCTTGAGAACAACACTCCAACTGGAAACCCTAAGTCCCATGATGAAGAAGGAGGAAAAGTAGTTTAAAACTAAAGACTTTGGTCTTAGGAAGCAATGAGATACTACAAAAGGTTTGTGAATAGAAGAGTGACACAATGATATTTTTGCTCTTAGAAGATATTTAGTTGTAGTCTGTAAAGGTAGATTTAAAAATTTAGACATGGTGGAAGAAAGACCAAGGTGGAGGACCTGAAATAGTCAAGAAGAAATGTAGATCAGAACAAGTGTAATGATAATGATAATGAAGAGGAGACAGTGGGTATAGGCAGTAGGAAGGAGGTAGAACTCTTAAGACATCCTAATATATTGGCTATTGACAATTATTCAAAATTGATAGAAGTGGGCTAGGGTTTTAGCTCAGGGGTAGAGCACTTACATAGCATGTATAAGGTCCTGGGTTTGATCTCTAGTACAAAAGAAAATTTGTTAGAATCAAGGCATGCACATTTAAAAGGTTCAGGGATCAAGTCACAATGCTGCTTCTTCTAGACTGTAAGACCTTATTTCTCTAAACCTCAACATCCTCATGTATAAGACAGGAAGGATAATAGTTCTGACCACACTACGTTATTCTCAAAAAATAAATAAAATAATGCATCCAAAGCAATGATTACAATACCTAGCATGAAGCCAAAAATGTCAAAATTATCAAGACATCTAAGTCAGTGGAGGAGCTGGAGCAATACCATAGGAAACATAAAAGATGACCAGAATCTTAGGAATGGGACAGGTGCTGCCAGAAAGTCAGAAGTCATGTTCAATAGAAGCAATGTGTTTTAGAAAGCAATTCATTATGCTTTCCTTTTATGGCATCATAATCTGTATATTATTTTATATATAGTGCTCCAGCAAGTCCTATGCTAATAACCCTAGATCCTTTTACCACATGTTTTTAGTCATCAGGAACTACTGCTTCAAAAAACCTACCCCAAATTTTACATCTAATGTTCTCATAATCAGTCAAGTTGTACATTTAATTTTGTCTCAGAAACCTATATATATGTAAGTGTGTGATAATTTCAAAATGATAATAATTCATAATAGGCTCTCTAACATTTAAAATCATGACTAACTTCTCCTTTTATACTATTTAAATGGAAGTGGCTCTTCAATGATATAATCAAAATAGTTATGGTCAATTTAAGGGTAATTAAAGGGAGATGTAAAAGCAGAAATTGTCTCTAAAACAAAAATATGCAGAAGAATCCCATCATGGGGATATCTTACTTACCTGGATAGTAAGTTTCTTAGAAGATCATCACTCAAAGGTAACCTGGAGGACTTGCACAGCCTTTGGATGTCTTTGGTGGGTAATACATGTTTTCTACATTAAAACAAAATGTATTGACTTTTATATACTTTGTGTCTCTCTGGTAAAATTGCATGTTATAAGAAAAAAAATACAAATGTGATATGTCCTAAAAATATGCACATGAAAGTAAGTCTGAGAACTTGTATTGGAGTTCATAGTAAGGAAAAACAGTCATATTGCATTTCACCAACTTTTTCCATTTTAGAGGTCACCAGATTCTGTCCTTATGAAGGCCTCTCCTTCAAAATTCAGATTCTTGGTTGGTGATAGTACTGCCTATTAAGGCTGTAACCACGAGTGTTGCTCTTAGTAATCGATCTGCATTCTTGACCACTAGTCAAAAACAGTTTTGATATCTGAAAACATCTCCTAATTTGACAGGCATCTAGAGCCTCCAACACAAGTATGATATGACTTGAGGGCATTTTTCTGGTCTTTTTTTTGGATCCAAACCCAGCTGGGGCCTTAACATTCACTTTGATTTTGTCCAATGCAAGTCAAAACGACTCTAGAGGAGGCCCAATGGTCATTTCAGTAGTCTCACTTGGCCGATGTTTTCCCAGGCACTATGCAAAATGAGAAACAACAAGAAAGAAAGTGGGCTCTTTTCTTTGCAATGAGAATGTTGATATCTCCAATCAAAGGTTGTTGGATCTATAAGAACCCCATGCTGTCTGATTAAGCAACCCCAATACTCCCAAGAAGTTTTCATTTAGCAACGGAGGGTCAGGTTCCTCACCCTGGGGAAGGGGCACCACCATGGTTGAAGGTAGAGCCAGAATTATGCAAAGACCAGTCCAAAGATCCTCTGGGAGGTTCAAGGAACCTTAAAGCTTTAATGAAAAATAATATTTCAATAAGGATGCATTATAGATTAGACAAACTATGGCATCTTCAAAGATACTTAGGGCATGTAGCTGGTCATTTGGGTGTAGACTTCAAGTCTGGGGATGAACAAGGGGGTCAGAGGGAAGAGAAATGGCAGTGGTATGTAGGAAAAGGGCTAGAAGCTAGAGTGAGAACTAAGATTTTTCTAACTCCAGATAAAATCAATAATTTTTACGTCTCCCCACTATATCAGATCTATGGATAAGATGAAATCCAAAACATAGTGAGATGTTTGGATCCATTTGTACATAACAATGGTTTAAAAAAACTGTACACACACATGTTCACTGTACTAGAAATAGATTGCGCTAAACATCATTACATTTAAGAAGAAATGATTTATTCTAAATTTTATTTATTTATTCATTTTAGTTGTTGATGGACTTCTATTTTTTATTTACATGTGGTGCTGAGAATTGAACCCAGTGCCTCACACATTCGAGGCAAGCACTCTACCACTGAGCTACAACCCCAGCCCCAAGAAGAATAATTTCAAAGAAATTCTGTAGAAAGTTTAATTATAAATTCCCTGCCCTGTGTATTATAAAAGTCACATTTATAAATCCCAATTAGTACTAAAACAATTTAAGAAGATATCTTGGAATTAAATCTGCTAATGTCTTGATTTACTATGCTTCAGTTGAAAACTTCTAGAAGCAAATGAAAATAAAAGGGGAGAGCCTATTCTTTTAAAGACATAGGGCCTCCCCTGTCCCCTAAGTATTTAAGGTGTCTTTGCTAAAAGGTAGAGTATGATGAGACATATCAATTTTCTTTTTGCCCTTTTGGATGAATATAAATTCCTTCATTACTCAGGTTCACATAAACTTAAATGATTTATTAGAATCAATAAAACGAAGCTTACTTTTCTCGATCTTCATACACACAGTTAAAAATGAGTCTGTCAAAATTTTCAAATATATTTTTCTTGAGCTTTTCATGGGCCTGTGCAATTAAGATATTCACATCTGTACTCATGTCCTCAGGCACACGGTAGTGGCGTGCAATGGTGATAACCTCCTGGTCTATAAGCCTCCCAGATGTTACATTCATCAATAAATCTCTGTAAAGGAAATAGGAAAATTATATCTAAGAATATTTTACCTCTCCTTCTATTAAAAAGATCCAAATTTCATTTCATGAAACTTTTACCAACAGTGTAGAGGTCAGAAAATTAACGTCTTTTAACTTAATTCTTATACTTTAGCAGCAGGAAGGTACAAATGCTAGAATGAAAAATCATCAGTACTATGGTTTATAAGCAAAATGGCATTTTTTTCCAGAGTCAAATTTCTATCAGGTAACAGCCTACAACCAAGAAGTAAATTGTTGAAGTCCTTGAATGGTCAAAATACCTGTCACTAAGTTCATGACTTTAAAAATGTCTATTAAACTTCCTTACACAAAATAGTAACTGACTTAGGTTTCTGGTTTCCCAGGACACAAAATTTATGAATCAATAAATCAGAACTGTGTTTTGGGGATGGGGAAAGCAATTATGCACTTTTCTGTAATAAAAAGTAAAAACTTAAAAATAAGAGGAAAGTTAAAAGAGTTATGTAAGGATACATTTGTCTGACTCTTTAGAAGGCAAATGGCAGTGAGATTATTCGGCAGAGATAAAAATAAATAACAACAACATATTAACAATGGAGGGCCAAAGCATAACAAGACTATTTTGTTTTCAGCATGTCCTGTATGAAGCTATAGACTATGGTAGCATACATTAGGAAGAATTATATAAGTGATTAAAATGCAAAAATATTATGGTGGTTACATGAATTAGCTTCCATAAGAAAAACTTTCTTACTTGAAATAATTCAACTCCCCAAACTCCCAAATAATTCAACTCCCCAAAATCCCAAATAAAGGAATAAAATTTTATTCTAGATTGGTTTTTCAGAAGAATGGCTTTTAGTTCTTTTAGATAATTCTGGCCATTATCACTATCATTTAATAATTCTAGCTGGGTACAATGGCACATACCTGTAATCCCAGTGGCTCAGGAGGCCGAGGCAAGAGGATTGATTACAAATTCAATCAAGCCTCAGCAACTTAGTGAGGCCCTAAACAACTTAGTGAGACCCTGTCTCTAAATGAAATTTAAAAAAAGGTAAAAATGGCTGTGGGTCAGTGGTTAAGCACCCCTGGGTTCAATCTCCAGTACAAAAAAAAAAAAATTCTAGGTTCCCCTAGAATTTCTTTAGATTGAGTCTAAGAAAGCCCATAATGTTCTTTCCAAAGGAAATGCATTTTACCTACATCTACTTCTCAAGATTTTGAGTTTTTTGGTTTGGTTTTATATTTTTAATGGGAAATGAGGGCCAAATTCAATCAAGGGGAGCCCACAATTTCAGAGAGTCAGGTCAGATAATCAATCAGGAAATCTGACAAGGGGATCACTCTATGGAAAACACTATAAAAGATACTCTGGCATCTGAACTTTTCAGTCCATACTCCAAGCATACAGATGAGATCTCAAAGCTGCAAGATTGTAGAGCCAATTGAATGAAATGAGTAATAGCAATAACAACCTCTACCATTTACTGTGGTCTTGCTATATGCCTGGTCATCTGCTGCCAGGTACTTTTAGCATGGATTGTCTCATCTGACCTAAGAGGTAAGGTACTATTATCATCGCCATTTTACAGATGAGAACACTGAGACACAGAAATGTTAAGTTATCCACCCAATATCACAAAATCCAGAATGAAAACGCTGTCTGGCTTCAAAGCCCATGCTTCTGTATATTCCTCTATCCCCAGTCCTCCATTGGGAAAGAAGATAGAATAGAAGTGGAGTGGAGCTCAGGTGAAACTTCCTAAAGGCAGTGGATTTTGAGCTGATTTTTTTCAATGTCCCTCTCTTCCTTTTACTATCCATGCTATAGTTTGAATGTGTGTTCCCAAAGTTCATGGGTTGGAAATCTAATCCTCCAATTCATGTGTTAATGGTTAGAAGATAGACTTTCAGGAGGTAATCAGGATTAGATGAGGTCATGAAGGTAAGGTAGGGCCCCTATGATGGCATTAGCAGCTTTATAAGAAGAGGAAGAGAGACCTGAGCTAGTAAGCTTGCTGTTGTGCCATGTGATACCTCCCACCATGTCATGATGCAGCAAGGCCCTCACAAAATGCCAAGCAGATGCCCACATCATGCTCTTGGACTTCACACACTCCAGAATCATGAGCCCAACATGTGTCTATTTATTGTAAATTACTGTGTCTCAGGTATCTTGTAATAGCAACAGAAAATGGAATAAGACAATTCATTACCTCTCCTTTGAGGACTATCCTTAGCCAGCACAAAAAGGTAAGAGAAAATAATTTCAGAAACATTGAGTCACCAGCCATCTCTGACAGGGTGGGTAACTGATCATAGAAGAGGTGCTACAAGGAAAGCCCTGGCTCATTTGCAGCATTGGTCATGGAATAATCAGTCACGATCATACATAAAATGAAACACTATACAACTATTAATGCTTTGTTGATTGGTATTTGTTTGTATAAAAGATGTCTAGGCAGGGACTGGGGTTATGGCTCAGTGTTAGATAGAGCACTTGCCTAGCATGTGAGGCCCTGGGTTCAATCCTCAGCACCACATAAAAATAAATAAATAAAATAAAGGTATTGTGTCCATCTACAACTGGAAAAAAAAAGAGATGTTTGGGCTATGTTGATGTAACATGATCCCAGTGAAACTCAATATATAGGTGCATATAGAGTCGTAAGGAGAAAGAAAACACAGGGAAGAGATGGACCAAAACATCAATAGCAGTATCCTTCATTGCCAAGATTTCTTTTTTTAAAAGGCATTTTCATTTTTCTCAGCTTTTGTAACAATCAAATATTACTTTCATTATCAGAAATAAAACCTTTCAAACAGCTTTTTCCTTTTGCAAGTAGACTAGTGTGTGAAGAGGAGCAAGCAGCACACACCCAAGGACAAGGAAAAAAAAAAAACATGTGCAGCAATAACTAGAAACTTTCCACACACCTTTAACTAAACTTATTATAGTACCACCAGATCATAAAAGTTTATTTTCCTTTTCATTGGATAAACTGAAATTATCCTGGCTTCACTGCAGTTAAAATTTATATCTGCTAGGATTTTGTATGCTTGGATTTTAAACAGCTCAGTATTCCACAGCATTACATGGCATTATGTGAGAGCTTCTAACAAGCTATGCCATACTTAAAACTGTCATCAGTCCTGCAGGGCATCAGAGGACTTGCAGCAGCTACCCCTGTGGCTGCAATACCCACAGGAGGCAGATTGCTGAACCAGGGATCTCAACCATGGCATCTCAGTCTCGCTTTGCAGATCTCAACAGGCTTCCACTACTTTGCCCTGCATTTGCCATGTGTGCCTTTTTTAGGACTTGCTCCATTTTATCTAGTTGGGCATGGTGGTGCACACCTGTAATCCCAGCCACTTGGGACCCTGAGGCAGGAGGATCATGAGTTCAAAGCCAGCCTCAGCAACTTAGCAAGGCCCTAAGGGAGACCCTATCTCTAGACAAAATATTAAAAAGGGCTCAGCAGTTAAGCACCCCTGAGTTCAATCCCTGGTACCAAAAAAACAAAACAAACAAACAAAAAAAACTTTTAATAGGCCTCAAAGAATTAGGATCTTTTAAAAAGTAGTACACTCCATTTTTATTGTGACAAAGTACACATGGCATGAAATTCACCATTTGTGACATTTATGACATTGGCAATATTGTGCAACCACCACTTTTATCTAGTTCCAAAACATTTTCATCATCTCAAAGAAACCCCATGCCCATTAAACAGTTACTCTCCTTTCCTTCCTCCCCACAGTCCTCTCTCCTACCCAGCAACCACCAATTTGCTTTCTACCTCTGGATTTGACAATTCTGGATATTTCATATAAATGGAATCATATGTGGTCTTTAGTGACTTGCTTTTCTTCCTTAATACATGTTTTCAGGGTTCATTCATGCTGTAACATGCTTAGGTATTTCACTCTTTTTTATGACTGAAAAATAAACCATTATATGAATACACTACATTTGGCTTATCCATTTGCTCTGATGGATATTTGGGTTGTTTCTACCCTTTTTTTTGGGGGGGGGTGGTACTAGGGATTGAACTCAGGGGCACTCGACCACTGAGCCACATCCCCAGCCCGATTTTGTATTTTATTTAGAGACAGGGTCTCACTGAGTTGCTTAGCACCTCACTTTTGCTGAAGCTGGCTTTGAACTCGTGATCCTCCTGCCTCAGCCTCCCAAGCCACTGGGATTATAGGCGTGCACCACTGAACCCAGCATTTCTACCTTTTGACTATTGTCAATAGTACTGCTATGAACGTGTGTAAAAGATTTTGTTTGAACATCTGTCTTCAGTTCTTTTGGGTATATGTACTCCCGAGTAGGATTGCTGGGTACATACAATAACTCTACATTTAACCCGTTGGGAAAATACCAAACATTTTTCTGCACACTTCACTTTTGCTGTGTAGCAATTGCAAAAACAAAGGTCCAAATTCCATCAAGCATAGACATTCCTCACTTATAACTTCAGAGTGAACTGAAATAAGATATGATGCCATCATCTGATCTCAGTACTTCTTGCTCACTCATTTAAGGGGAATAAAAATGCATTTAAAAAGTGGTTATGAATTGTATTGATCATGTGCTTGCTGGTTGATATTAGCTAATATTAAGGATTCAAAGGTCAACTTACCTTTGTCTTTACCCAACATATTTTATACAGTATAATACTGTATTATAACACTATTATTTAGTTACTTTCATAAGGGATACTGCCATGATTTTCTCTGGTTTTGTAATTAAAGTCATAAAACTGAAAAAAAATGCCAAACTGCTCTAGGTTATTGAGGTAACTATGCAGAATTTTTGAAACATGAAATGTTAAACAGTTTTACAAGACATAATTCCATTAAAGTCATCCAGTCAAGTAATAGTGAATCAAAACTTCCTTTTAAAGCTCTGAATCTCACGGTATTTTCTTACATATTGAATCATTCAAAGTCTAAGCAATGTCTTTCAAATAAACTTTAAAAATTAGTTTTGGC